GCACAGAGGCAGATGCAATTATTTTCCCAGCCGTGGAGGAAAATGTCATCAGGACTCCACAAAAGCCTCTACGTTCTCTCACCTTCTCTCTGTCTCTCTCTGTCTCTCTCTCTCTCTTTTATTTATTTCCACGATTCCCTTTATCAATTAAGACCGCTCTCAAGATTGTCTCCAGCTATTTCTTTACAGTCAATTAGCCTCGGAGGAGACAGAGAGGAGCTTTTCAGAGGCTGAACAACATGCGTGGCAGGCCCTGCATACCAAACAGAGCCGGCCGCCGGCCAAAAGCCCCCCCCCCCGTCTATGCTCCTCCCCCGTCTGGCTGAAGGCATTTAGCTCTTTAAAGACCCACCACGTTTCCCAGGTGACGGCTGGACCCGCAGAGACGCGCGTCCCGGAGGACTTCACACTGACATGTCGGGTCTATCGTGAACAGAAAAAGGCAGATTCTGATAGACTGGATCTTAACTCATTGGCTGCCAAAGACGTCTATAGGCCTCAATTCAAATACAACCGTTGGCTGCCAAAGACGTCTAGAGACGTCTTTTATGTTTTTCAACGAGAGTGTCTGGGGGACGATCTGCTAAAGCTTGTCCGTAAATATCAGGCTTCTAGTCTACATGTTGCTGTGTTGGCTGCCTCTCTCTGCTCCCTCTGTCCTTCTCTCGCCCTCTCTTTCCCCTCACCCCCAACCGGCCGAGGCAGATGCCCCCCCACCCTGAGCCATGGTTCTGCTCGAGGTTTCTGCCTGTTAAAAGTTTTTCCTTGCCTGTGTCGCCTAGTGCTTGCTCATGGTGGGAATTGTTGGGTTTCTGTAATTAACTTCAGAGTAGGGTCTGACCTGCTCTGTTTGGAAAGCGCTGTGAGATAACTGTTGTTGTGATGTGGCGCTATATAAATAAAATTGAATTGAATTGAATAGACAGGGTATGTACTAACAAATTGACCCTCTAGGGGGCAGTGCCACTTTTGATGGGAGATGAGCATAGACTGTAGGCAAATAAGAAAAAGCTAACGGTTCGCTATGAGAGAACATGTCGCCTGTGAGACGCAAGTCGAGGAAGAACGGAATAAGGTAGAAACTATTTTTTTTTCCTGATGAAAGAAGAGAGTCTACTCTTTCTTTTGGTGTGTTCGGTGTTTACATAGTCATAGCACAAACTATTCTGTGGCTCTTGAAAAATCAGTCAAAATGCTCAAAAAACTCTGGCAGTATGGGACTCTCTGTTCTGAAAATGGCTGGCAGTCAATGAGTTAAATCCCCGCCTCTTTTCGGGCTCGCGTTCAGATTTTTTTAAAAACCTCCTCCCGAGTGCATCCGCATGGATAAATCTGACTAATAACCAGTAACTTCAGAGTCAGTTCAAGAGCGATTCCTCTGACTTTGTGAACTCGCCGATTTAGTATTTATGCTGTCTCCCGAACAAAATGCGCTGCATTATTTATAACCCGCTATCTTAAATTTTTAAGCTTCTAATGTTTCCTTGAAATGGATTCTGAAATCTTACCTGGAGCTTTTGTTCAACTTGATTCCGCCGAGTGATGACCACTGTTAAGTAAACGTCTTCCTCCATAAAGAACCACGTTTGGACTCTTATCCTTCGTTATTTTTCTTTAAGATATTGACAAAATCATTAGA